AGTATAATTTATAATACTTTTGGTATTTCATTTTTATATATAAATTAAATTTGAAACAACTTTCGGTAAGTTTTAACTTTCAGATGGCTAGTTTTAGCAAATAATTTTAAGAAGTTTTATTATAATGGATTTAATTCTTCCAAAGGTATCTTACTTATTTTTGTTTTTAACAAATAATTTCTATGTCTTTCAAAGATCATACTTATTTTTTTGTTCATCTTTGTACAAGTTGATGGGATTCAAATTCCATAGGCATGCAAGTATCTAGGACCTGTAATCTACAAAGTAGGTTTTTAAAAATTGGCAGTAGCATGTAAAACATTGTCTTTTATATTTCACTCATATTTTTCTTTAATTCTTGTGATTTACTAAAAGCTCATTCAGCAGTTCTGTTATTATATTACACTATTCATTGTTGCAGTGTCAAAAATGGAATTTTGTGTACAGCTTTGATAGAAAGGAACACTGAGAAGCTTGTCATGTGTCCTGGTTGGCCTTCCCCTTTTATGAATCAGAGAGAAACAAAACTATATCAGAAAATGTTTCATTGGGTTACTTTCATTGTAAATATCACAAAGTCATATAAAGTTATTAGGATTAAATAATACATAAAAGTAGAGGGCACTTAGTTCTATCTCTACACAGACTTTGATAGGTAGACCCTCATCTGCTTTATTTTGCTGTGGCTAAAGTTTATGGTGGACTTAAACATTTGGGATTTGGAAATAAAGTTAAAGACTTCTCATACCAGTCACTTAAAAGTTCTAGCAAATAACTTGGGAGTGGCTGTAGGAACACAAGGGTTAGGCAGTGGTAACAAAGAAGCCCTATTCTCATGCATCTTACTTTGGGAGTGGTGACAGGCAACAGACTATAATTTGAAGTAGAAACAATTAACCTTGCCAGTAGGTTCTTGGAGATAACAACTTTAAACAAAATGAGTATAATGAAACCTTTTTTCCCCTCAGTGTTAAAATGAAAGGATGTTGAGAGCAATGCATTATTTGAGGACCTGCTGTCCATTGTTTCACTTAAAGTTAGTTTTGAAGAACATACTGACCCACATTAGTGAGGATCTACTGTAATCTAGGGATGGCCTTTGGAAAAGGAAGGTAGTATTTTGGTTGAAGTTGGTGGGGATGGGGATAAGTAGGATTTGGAAAGAGAGAGAGGGGCAGAACAGTACACAAGGGAGCATTTAAGGATGGAGGAAGTGGGAGTATGCACAGAAATGAGTGGTGGAGAGCAGTCTGATTTGACTTACAATATTACTTACATACGTGTGAAAAGTAGTAGGTTAATGGGCTTAACTTGAGAAGATATTTTTGGACCAGAGATCATAGGCAGTTGAATGAAGTCTTTTATATTTTTAGGTAGTAAGAAACCATGGAAGTGTTTCGAGACATGAGAATGTTAAGAAACATGAAGAAAATTGTGATTTGGGCACTTAATCTGATCTTTGTGTATAGATTGATCGGAAAAACAGACACCATTTAGCAACATGTTTTAGTAGTTTGGGTGCTATGCCAAAAATGTGACTAGAACAGTAAATGGAAAGAGTGGGATGAACTCAAGGTAAATGGGATGGCCAAACATTTTGATGATTAAAGACTCTCCTGATTTACATTTTTAGCATAGTTATCGTTAGTGTCCCTTTTTGATTTTAAATGTTTCCTGCTTTGGACAATGTGGTGACCCTAAAGATAGATTTGCTGTAGCATTGACAGCACTTGCCAACTAGATTGAAAGAGGAGACAGGGATGGTGGCATAAGAGAGCTAAACACACGATTTTTAGAACTTCTTATAATTTCACTGAATTTTCCTGTTTTGAAGAATGAAGCATAAAATTTCCTTACCTAAATTCTACAATCAAATCTTATGTGTTTAAAATTGTGTGTGTGTGTGTGTGTGTGTGTGTGTTTAATGAACACATCCAAGTTTTGGAATATTCAGCAAAATGATAGATGCTGGCTGGGTGCAGTGGCTCACACTTGAAATCTTAGCACTTTGGGAGGCTGAGGCAGGAGGCTCACTTTAAGCCAGGAGTTTGAGACCAACCTGGGCTACAAAACTAGGCCTTGTCTCTCCAAAAAATTAGCCAGGCATGGTGGCGCATACCTCTAGTCCTGGCTACTTGGGAGGCTGTGGTGAAAGGATCTCTTGAACCTAGAAATTCAGTGGCAGTGAGCTAGGATCATGCCACTGTACTCCAGCCTGGGTAACAGAGCAAGACCCTGTATCTAAACAAAATAAGATTAATAAAAATAATTTTAAAATGATAGATGCTGAAGAGAATATGCTGTATTTAGTCTTATCTCATATTTTCATTCATTTTGATTTAAAAGCAAAGCTTTCTAGGAAAACTTTAATAAATCGGTATAGCTGACATAGAAATTTTCCAGATAGTTCAATATCCTGAATATCAACATGCCATCACTGAGGAAACAGGCTTCTTTGTGTTAGCACCTTTTGGTTCCCGATCATTTTTCCCCTATTGAAACAGGTGACTATAGTCACATGATACTTAACTTTAAGGCTTATTCGTAGATATAGCTGTTATATTTGTGGACAGTCTCAAATGTTTGTATCTCGTGTGTTTTCCATGTGTAGGCAGAAGGAGAAGACAGCCTGAAGAAGATGCAGCTGATGGAGCTTGCAATTCTGAATGGCACCTACAGAGATGCCAACATTAAATCACGTAAGAATGAGCCCTGAGGCCCAGGGTTACCTCTGTCTCCATTGTTCTGTCTACAAACTTTTTTCCTTTTTGGCAGCACAACACAAGAACAGTTTATACAAGTGAACAGTTGAAGTAATTCTGTCACTTGATATGGGACTGACAATCCTATTTTTAATGCTTTCATGAATTGAGGACACTCTTGATTTTTTTTTTTTTTTATGCCAGCATGTTGAAGTTTTGAGTTTATAAACCTAGATTATTTTAATGAAATCTCAATCTCTAAATTCAAGAGTTTAAGAAAGTTTCTATTTGGTTAACTACAGATGTAAAGCTTCCAGCTTATCTTGTTAAATTTATGCAAAAGACAAAATTTCGAAAGCCTATTTAAAAAGGTGAATTTGAAGTGTATCTGAATGAAATGGCCCTCTGTTGAGTTCTGTCCTTTCACTTTGCTTGCATGTTTTCCCTCCAGTATTTTTCCCTGTTGATTTCATATGTGAGTTCACAGAGATCAGTGGGTGATAATTCTTTTTCAGTCCTATTTTTGCTTTTATATGTATCTGCATGTTTTTATAAACCATGAAAGGGTAGCTTTTTTATGTTTAAAATGAAATAATGTGAAATTTATATTTTGAAACAATTTAAGGTTCAAACATGTCATTTATATGAACACACCATGTTTAATTACTGATTATTTTTTAAAAACACGTAAAATTTTAAAGTTCTAGCTAGCTTTCCAAAATGCAGACAACTTAGTGGGTTTAAAAGTAGTTACTTTACAAATTGTTTCTATTGATTTACTCATGAAAATGAGAGTATATCGTAAATAGGAATTTAGAAATAGAGCTTGTTAATGTTTTCTATGACGTTAGTTCCCACAGATGCTGGAAATTTACATATATGCCTAGTGATTACTTGACTAACTTAATGCAATAAAAATTATTCTTATTTTACTTTGAAACCAAAGGTGTACTTTAGATAGAAATCTACCAAAACTGTGTTTCTGTGGACTCTCGTTACAAATTATTTTTTAACATCTGTTAATGCAAGTGTTTCATTGTGCTTTTGCATGTACTTTAGTCTTAAGAAATCTTAAAAACATAGATATATCAAGTATATGAACTAAATATAACCTATTTAATGGTGTCATTCATTTTTTTTACAATGGCTTTTTAATTTTTGCACATTCTTAATCACATTGGGAAAGGGAAGCTGTTTGCATTTGATTGGTGTGCTTTGGCATTTTTGTGTGATCAGCGCATGTACTAATGATTTCCTTTTATTTTTCTTCTTTCCTGCTTTTTCCTTTCTTTTTCCTACTCCCCTCTCATTTTCCCATATTTTATACTGCTGTCTCTACACTTCTTTCTGAATTTCCTTGCTTACTGTAGCAGCCCTTGCCTTTTCTCTTGCAGCAACAGCCCAGGCTGCTCCAAGGATTATTACTGGGCCTGCGCCAGTTCTCCCACCAGCTGCCCTGCGTACTCCTACGCCGGCTGGCCCTACCATAATGCCTTTGATCAGACAAATACAGACCGCTGTCATGCCAAACGGAACTCCTCACCCAACTGCTGCAATAGTTCCTCCAGGGCCCGAAGCTGGCTTAATCTATACACCCTATGAGTACCCTTACACATTGGCACCAGCTACATCAATCCTTGAGTATCCTATTGAACCTAGTGGTGTATTAGGTAAGTTCTTCTCCCCATGGGCTTAACAGCATTCTTCTTTATAAATAGTTTTGCTCCCCCAGATTTTGAAATGATTTTATCAGTTTTGGAAAGGCAAGACAAGTTTCCATTAGGAAAGACTGAAAACTACATTTTGTTTTATTTCAGCCTCTCATAAGCCTTCCCCTTTGAAATAATTGCACCTTAAATTTATTCAGATCTACTTTGGTAACTCAGGTTCAGTTTGGTTGGGTAAATCTGTTGTGTACATTTTAACAGATACTTTTTACATTTGACATTACTGATGCCATTCTGAGTTTTAGGTCCCACGCCATTGGCCTGTCACCTCCATCAACTCCACTTCTCAAACTTAGATTTATTTTGTCTCACAGATTTATGTAGTTGTTGGAAAAAATTTAAACTTCCATTTGAAAGTATTTTGAGATCTTTATAAAATCCATATTATTGTATGTGTTTTGTAATATTTGTGATCACTTAAAATATGAAAGGGACCAGGTAAATACAGTCATGCATCGCTTAACAGCGGGGATACATTCTAAGAATTGCCTTGTCAGGCAATTTCATCATTTGATGTACATCATAGAGTGTACTTTCACTGACATAGTTGATAGAGTTTACTACACACTTAGGCTGTGTGGCATAGCCATTATAATCTTATGGGACCACTATATGTGGTCCATCATTGACCAGATGTTGTTATGCAGCGCATGACTGTAGTTGCATTCTTAAGATTTTTCATTTCTTGTCTTTTGAAGTCCTAATCATATTAAACATGAGAGAGAACTCTTAATTTCAGTAGTACCGTGTAGAATAGTTAAATAAATACCAAATCACTGAATTCAGAATCTCACTTAAGGCAAAAATTAAAATCATAATATAAACGCTTGGTTTTACATGAATAAAAAGTGGTGTGCTTGAAAAAGACATTACTGATGCCTTTTTTTTATAGAGTGGATTGAAATGCCAGTCATGCCTGATATTTCAGCCCATTGACTTGCTGGATGAAGGACTAGAATACAGCAGCTGTTATAACACGACCAGTCAATGTGGAACAAACTGTTTCTGTGCAACCCCTTTGTTTTACCAGACAAAATTTGAATACCTTTTTTCCTGAATTGTATATGACCTTGGTGCTGCATGCATGCTGTTGACTTTTAGGACTTTGATTTTTTAAGGTTTTTTTTCCCAGCATTAATATTGATTTATAAAAATTTGAAAATCTTTAATGAACTGGAACACTAAGATTTAAACTAGAAAATGCATTGTTCAAGTAAAGAAAACCATGATGCTCTGTATGTTATCTGTGTGTGTGCATGCACTCAGGTGCCCTTTGTTTCATGAACAAATACATTTCATTGTACATGTTTTCCGTTTAAATCATTGTATAAAGTAATTGCAGGTCAGAATTATACCACAGAACTGTTTATGAGAGGATTGTCTCTGTTGCACATTTCTTGAAGCATTTTTAAAATAACATGTAACCTGTAACCTTGTTTAAGTTTTCCTTTCTATTAATACTCTGTCTTGTGGTCCCGTGCATGCTCCTTTTCCCAGAACTCCTCTCTGCTGCACCCACAGCATCTGTTCCCGAGGAGTTATGACTCTTGACTTCCTGCAGGGCTAGGACTCTTACCACCAGCTGCTGTTCCAGCACTTTCAATGCAAGATCTCCCTGATTTTGCCACATGGAACTGTACTTGTATTTGATTACCTTATCTAAAATGAATAAGGGGTGATGAACCAGTTTACTGCTTAGAAATAGCAAGAGGCACTGCAGTAAAGTTTGTTTCTCATTGTAAAGCTTCATGTCTTTTGTTTGTTGGAAAATTTTTACTTATAAAAACTTAATTAGTAGCCTGGCAAAATAAAGACCAAAATATGCATATCCCTAATTGGCATTCATAAGGTGAATAATAATAATAAGTGCCAAATGAAAAAATCTATTATGGTTAATTGTATTTCTTGCCTTGCCACCTAAGCAGTAAAACATGATATTGACCACTTGGAGAACTGAGAAAATTATTTTAAATTGCTAAGTTATAATAAATTTGCACACAGATAACATGCATGCTATTTATGTCACGTCTCACATTAAATTATTTTAAAATAAGCAGTGCCCTTCAAAACAGATGCAGACATGTGTGTTGGTAGTAGTGAGGAGATTGGTATTAGCATCAAATCTTCATTGATGACTAATTTTTAATTCCCTTCCTTTTATCTTTAGGTATGGCTTTCCCAACGAAAGGCTAAGAATTCAAGAACGGTCTTAACTGAACCCTCATCAGATCTGAATTTAACAAATGCTTAGTCTCAGCAGCCTCCGGGGGAAAAAAGCTTAGCCTAGCAGTCAGTGACTTACTTGCACTTTTTGCACATAGATATAAAGTAAAATTATGTTATTAATTTGGTTTAGTCTGTAATATTACACAGTAATGGTAATTTATAAAGGAGTGTATAGTAGTATACTGACTGCTAAGTGTACTATACTGTTTGCTTTACTAATCACCTAATTCATTGCAGTTCATACTTATTGACTCAGAGTTTAAAACCACAATCTGTAGGCTTTAAGAATTGCTTTTAAACCTTTTTAAGTGATAAACTCTTGAAGTGGTCTTAAGGTTAGCAAATAATTGTCAGTATTAAACATGGCATTATTTAAGTAGTCCTGCTGCAAGAAAGGCACTTCAGTGAATATGTGACTAGTAAAGCTTAAATATGTTTGGATCTAATAGAGTTCATGAAATACTGTAACTTGGGGATTGTAAATGAATGGATAAAATAGGTTAAGGCCAAGATGTTTGAAATGAATGCAATATTAATAGATGCATATATACATGACATATTATGGTTAGTTTTAAAACTACTGTGCCTTAACGTGTTTCTTAAACTTTTGTAGTAAATGAACATTTGAAATCCATTTTGATAAACCTGCTGTTAATGTTTTTTTTCCCCCTTGTGAATGTTTTCTAACTTTGTCTTGGTAATTGCAATTTAACTAGGTGCGGTGGCTACTAAAGTTCGAAGGCACGATATGCGTGTCCATCCTTACCAAAGGATTGTGACCGCAGACCGAGGTTAGTTTAGTTCTGCAGTTCTTGTCTATAAGAAACGCGTTGGGTGTCCATAAAATTTGCAACACCACACCTGATGGAAAAATGTAATTGCTTACCTGCATACAGTTTCTTTTCCTTTTCTAAATTTGTTTATGATCATTGACAGATTTAAGGGTTGGGTTTTTTTGTTTTGTTTTGTTCTTTTCTCCCTTCATATTTTAACTTATTAAATCTTCTATTATTATGTACTATGATTTATTCCTACTAAAACATAAATTAGTCAATTTGGGGAGCTAAATTTTGATGTTGCCTCAGTCATTTTCATTAATAACTTTTGCTAAAATTTACCTTTTAAAATTCCTGAAATTTGGGGATGGTATTGCAAAATGAATTGAACGGATGGTGCTTTAATGAGAGAAGTAAAGGATTATATGCCTCCTGTGTACTTTTGGAGAAAACTGAAGATTTAGTTTCCATTTTTCTTTTATATTTGAGCCACTGTATAAACGTGAGGGTTCACATGTCAAGTACTTAGCTGAAATCAACAAAGTGAGGACTGTGAAGATAACTTTCATGTAGTTGGATTTTTTAAAAATAAATTAGAGCGTCTATCCCCTTTTATTCTTACATTCTCTTGCCAAAATGGATCCTTTGATTTTTGTAATTTGCTGCTAAAATATATTATCTGAAGGTAAACTGTCTCTTGACGTTCTGTGGTGATATTATGAGATCCAGCTGTGTGAATACTCTTTTTGACTAACCTGTGACTGGAAAATAAGTCTTCATTTTTCTCCTTTACAACTTTTATAATTTGTGTCCTATATATGCCCTTGGACCCTTTTATAAATTATTTTTGCTTATTGAGGAATGGTATTTTCGGCTTACTGACATTGAATTGTTTTCTAAGTTTTTCTGTCTCAAAATAGGAATCTCAAGCATGGCAGTGAAAAAGGATTTTTTTTTACAAGTTTCTATTATGGCACATTTGTTTCCTACAAATTAAATTGATCAAAGTCTCTAATATTAGTGGGGTAAAAGTGCTGGATTTTGTACTTCAATTATACATCTTCTGTGAATTTATGAAGGACCTTCTGCTTCATGTGATTACGTTGAGTACTGATGATAAATACTAGACACAACCATTGTCCACATCAGAAATAAAATGGCTTTCCAAAGACATTGTTGATATTTGTTTAGTATAATCCATAATTAACCTCAAAGACTTTGAAACTAATGTGTACATCACTTATAGTGATTATTCAGTGAACAAAATAGACCCCAGCTCCGTAGTCATCTATGAAGTTGATATTCCTTGTAAGTGTTTTGTATGAGCATGTCTCATAAGGATGGGGAAAGTTTTTGGAAAGCCGCTGTCATTTTAAAGAAACTGGACAATTCCATGAATAATTTGAGGTTTTATTCATATTGCTAATGTCTACAGCTGTTCTAAAAAACCCCCCCACATTCCAGCTAATCCTTCCCTATTTAAAATATTTCTCACCATTTTGCTTTAACACAATAATTATTGGCCTACTTAATACTCCACTGCCTTGAGATAGTTGGACCTATTTGAGGAAGATTTTATTGTATTTGGAAAATTGTGACACATTCCATGCATGGCTCTTTTGTAGTTACATGTTTTGATTAGCCCTGTCACTGTTTTTATTTAAAATCCAATGTCAGCAAACTGAAATGTTCATTTCTTTTTTAATAACAGAATACTCATATGCTTATCACTGTATGCACTCACTGGGTCTAAGGGAGATGTCTGAAGTCCTTCACTTAAATTATTTTATGATACTACTGTTTTCTCTATTTTTGAGGTTAAAATTATTTTTAAAAAATATTTTGAAGAGATAATTATTAGTATAAGCATTCATTTAATGCAAAGAAACTCAGCCCTTGGACATATAACCATGTAATTCTATATGAATGTTTAGCATACTACATGGTTGACCAATATCTAGTTCTTTACTTAAAGTAAACCCACCTCTTTATATATATTTCAAAACTGAATTTGAAGCCTGTTAGAGACCAACTGACTTTTTAGTTGTAATGAACCATACGGTCTTGCATGGGTGACACACCTGTGTAGGAGGCCAAGACTTGGCAGAGGACGTGGTCTAGGTGTACTGGTATATAGAAATGGTCACTTGCTTTGTTTATATATTCCACATGCGAAAAAGAAGTCAGAAAGTTTTCTGAATAATACAAAAACCATCACTTATATAATTTGTATAAGAAACTTAAAACAATTTTAATCAAAAGTTTAATATCAAAAATGCTTTAAGATTTTATATTTTGGAATACCTGTAAAGTAGTAAGACTACATCATGTTAAATATTTATTTTGTTCTATGATTTCGGAGCAGCAATTTTTATTTTTAAAAAATTCCACTTTTTAAGAAATTCAGGGAAGATTTGGTCACATTGAAGATACAGTATTTTTGTAGTATTTATAAACTGTTCTAAATGATAGACTATAGAAAGCATTTTTGTCATATGAAGGTAAATCAGTCCATGATTTAGATCATTTAAACTCTGAACATTACACCTTCTGGGCTTTGATTTATGAAGTGGCACAGAATCTCACTTTGCACTGAATATCTTTTCATTCACATCTCCTCTGCCTTAGTCACAATGGCAACAGTACAGAAAATTCTATCAAACCTCAGAATATAGTAGAAATAATTAAGCTGTTGAATGAGTCTTAAAAATTATACTACTGTTTAAGTGGACCAAGTTTGGTGAAGCAGAATGTGACAAAGGTTGATTAAGGAAGGAACAACTCAAGGATATTGGGAATGATAACTTTTCCACTTGAGAACTACTTTATGTTTTACTGTAATTTTTAAATTTTTTTTGTCCTTTTTGTTATTTTGCAAAAGAAAATAGTATTTACAGGTGGCTTCTTTTAAAATATAAAAATATAAAGCAGGAATGTATATGAAATGTCAGATTTTATTGTATTTGCAGAGTATTAGCTTTGAAATTGAATAAAGAAAGCTGTTTGTAGTTTTACAATGCCTTATTGGTATCAATTAGAAATTTCTTCTATTTTTTGATGTACTTAGAGCTTTTTGAGTGTAGAATTTTAAATGGCAGGATTTTACAGTGTTTACATGCAAGTGCATTTTATAAGTGTTCTATATGTGTAAAATAGTATTTTCAACTGGAAAGTGTTGGCTAGTGCAAAAGGCCTGGCCATTTTCTGGTTCCCATGATGTTGCCTATACTGCTAGACTACAGTTTAGTATTGCTTTGTATCATGAGGCCAAGAAATTCCATGTTGTTTGTAAATAGAATAATTGAAAAAGCAATAAACATTTATTGAACAAAAGAAACCTTGTTTGGCCCAGAGTTTATGTTGAACCAGATTGTTCATAGAATTTTGAATTTCTTTAGATTCTTTTCTGTTAATCATCAGTTATTAATAATCACATCCATCATTAATAGTTGCTTTAATGCTTGCATCTGAGAGAATACTAATGCTTAATAGCAGTCAGATACTGATAACTGCACTGACTGTTTAAAAATTCTGTATATCAAACCTATTCATTGTTGTTTTTCAGTTTCCTTCATTGACTGCTACTAACTATTAGTTGTTAGTTGTATTTTATTTCTATTTTTTCTTGTTAACCAGTTTGTTTTTTTTTTTTTTTTTTTTTTTTTTTTTTTTTTTTTTGTTGGGAGTGGGCTCTTCTTCATTTGTTCAAATCATGATATGAAATTGTCATGATTTTAATTGTATTCTGTAGATGGTGTCAGTTTGTCAGAATTAAACATGCTTTTTTTTATTAGTTGTGATTAGTTTTTCATGTTGTCATTAAGCCGTCACTAGCTGAAACTAATCTCTTCTCTATCTTTTCTTTTCTTTTTTTGTTTTGTTTTTTTTTGTTTCTAACCACCCAGCCGCCACCGGCAACTAACCTATGACCTTCTGACCTCTGAACTCTTCACCCAATGATGACCTGACCATGCCTGCCTGCTGATCAGTTAACTGGTAATCGCCTTTGCTTGCCTGTCGTCAGTGCAGCAAGCTGAGGCACTTGTCCGTTCGTCTTACCATCTAACCAAACAAAAGACAAAGAAATTGTTGTCCTCCAACTCAGCTTTTTTTTTTTTTTTTTTTCCTGTTTGGGTGAAAGTGGTTCTAGAACCTGCACTGAATAGTAGTAAAGCAATAAGGCCCAATTCATCCCACAGCACTGATCATCTTCTAATATCCCACCCTAAGCGAACGGTAAGAAGGCCTCTCTTAAGAAGGGGAGACAGATGGCCCTTAACTACTCAATGACAGAGGCAGTTACTGTGAGAGACTTCTAGGAATCTCTTTCTTCTCATAGTGAAGTTAAAGCTCTCTCTGAATGTACTGTGTGATGATGCATCATGCATGAACCTTCGGTCAGGGATGTCATTGGTTGGTGAAGTGATTTCAAAAAGTATTCAAAATTTGATATGCTGTTTAGTCACTACAGTGCCCTCAAAGGGCAGAAGTTGCAGCCTTTTTTATATTGCCTGCCAAAATTTGAAGTATTAGAGGAAAGTGTGCCATGAGAGGAGAAACTTAAGGAGTTTTGAAAAGTAATGCAAATAACAAAACTGCAACACTATTTTTAAAAAGATAAATATCTGAGTTAAAATTACTGAATCTTTATTTTACACCTTCTAAAAAATATATGAGAACAAGGTACATGCATTATGTGTCACATTACTGGGCAAACTGTTCAAGTATTTTTTTTTAAACCTCCCTGTATAGAAAAAAATCATTAAGGATGTAAAAGCCATGCTTGCCTATTTGCTGTATACATGTAATGAAATTGTAGATAAAGTGTAGTGCATTGAAACAAATGAACAAAAAAGTAGATACTTTTACTATACAAGGGTGCTGGTGCAGAAAAAAATATATATATTTTTGGAAATGTAGCATTTTATACTTTCAAGTGTTATTAAAAAAAAAAAGAAGAACAAAGAAACCCTTTATTTCATTAAATGATTTTTTCTGGTGGTTGTCAAGAAACAAAAGACCAAAAGAGCCTTTTTGTCTTTCTTTTTTATTTTTTAAGTATTGGAATAAGTCTAAAGAAAAGAAAGTGCCTTATTTTTCTTCATGGTCATTTAGTCAAGTGTCTCATAAAGATCAGCTCCTCCCTCAGAATACAAGTTAATGCATGTTACTCAGTCGCCCAGTATGTGAAAGAAAATAAGAGGGAGACAAATGAGTTGATGGTTTGAATCATATGATTTTTGCCACGTTACCTTGATGCAAATTTGCCAAATCTGATACTGTGAAAAGATTTGATAATTTTTCTAATGCCTGACTAGCAAGTTTTAAAACATCATTCTTTAAAAAAATTATAATTGAATACTTTTGGTTATTCCAGTCTTCAATGATAACCCAAAGGACTCTGAGATAAAAATTATGTGTAACCTGAACTTCAGACAAAATTAGAGCTTTGTTTTATTTGGAGAAGGGGGATGCATTCATTTTGTTTTGTTTTTTATTTTGTTTTTAATTAATTGGAGATAATAGGATCCCTAGCATATGTTTTCACGAAAGTGACTCTTTGTGATTTTCATTCTGGAAAACAGTGTTTTAAATAACCCAAATGTAACCACGTCTTTATATCATACCAGATAACATGTGTAATGCATCTCTTTACAGTTTCAGTAACCTCTGCCTCCCCCACCCTTTAGGTTTAAAAGAATGTGAAAAACTAGCATCATAGTGCGTATAATACTCAACCACATTTCAGCTTAAGCTTCTAATTTCTCCAGAAGTTCAAACAGTTATATAGTTCAAGCAATTTGTGCTCAAAGCCTACATCTAAACACTTGAGTGAATAATCATTAACTGCTCAGTACCAGATGTGGCAAATCTCAAGTGATGGTGGACTCCCCTCCAGCTTATCAACTCGTCCCCTCTTCCACACCTTCCCAGCGTCACAGTCAGAGGTCAGCAGGAAGCTTAGTCAGTACCTTCTTGGCGACCTCCCCCGCCATCTTGTCTCACTTGGAAACCGTTGTCAGTTTATTTACTATGCAATAGACATTCATTGTTTTGTATCCAGCTAGTTTTGGTTTAATATGCCACTGCTTTGTCTTTCTGTTACACATACAGTTTTGATTTATTTACAGTATATGCTGTGCCATTTTGATTTTTATATTGTTTGGTTGGTTGAATCAATTTGCGGCACTCAAACACTTGAGGTGATAGTTATTAAAAACAATACCAGTATTTGATCCAATTTCATCTCAACTATGTTAAACCTGGACATTTTAGATGTTTATCAAAGGTCTTTTATGGGGAAGAAAGTAAATGTATGAAATAATAAATGTGTGACATTTATGGGTAATGTTGGCTCTGAGCAAACTTTTGAAAACTTGGTTGACAAAATTTTGGATCAACTGAAAAAAAAAGCATGACTTTTGAAATCTCTGAATGCCTTGGTTCTCAGTATTATCATTCTTTATTGAATTTATTTCTTATTAAAATATGTAGTTTTTAAGACTTTTTTTCTGACAGTATTATGTAATTTTTTAGCGTGGGTAGATGGGAGTGTCGCTTGTATGTTATCGTACAGCTGACATGTATTTTTGTCTATTCTTTATTATCTTAGTAGTTTCATGCTATGTATGTACCATAACCAACCTATTGCCTATGAGAAACATGTAAGATAATGTATTTACAGCCATTGTTACAAGTTTATAATGTATTTTTCTATCTTGTTTTATATGTATGTTATATAACATTCAAAAAGAATTTTTTTCTTGATTGAGAAAAAGATACAAAATGCAAAATCCACAATTTTGATAACTGAAAATTGCCAATTGTTTTGCAGTACTTTATTATATTGGGTGTCTTGTCTTTTTTGGGCTTTTAGTTAGCTAATGAATGAATACATTAGACACTTTTGGGTTTTAGTTGGGATTTTACATAGCTTGCATTTTAATTCTTTGGTTCTTTGCTGTTTCTATTAACCCATAGCATTATTTTAATAAATGTTATAATACCAACCTACTAACTCTGGACTATGTCTGTTTATTAACCTTTATATGTTTAATTAAAATAAATAAAGACAAAAGAATGTAAAGTCTTGAGTTACTGGACTAACCCTGAAGAACGTGACCACAGATAACATAGCGTGACTTGTTTTTATGTTGTTTGTCAGCTGACAGTTCCGCACACTACTCTTAAAATGGCTTTGATTATTCTGGTCTTTTACCTGGTGGGGAGGGAAGGTAGGTGCCGTAGAGATGGGAACAAAGTAGCCTTTGTTTGAGGCAGTCTTCTGCTCTTGCCACTTGCCTTTTAGCATCTGCCTTACTAATTCCACACCTTATTTTTCCTTCTCCAAAATAATCACTGTCTGCTCACAGCATCAAGAGTAAAAAGATACATTGTAATGGTATATACCTGGAGAAACCAGTTTGATTCTTTGTTGAACCATTTCTTTTAATTTCTGTAAGTAATTTTATGGTCACATTGTAAAGCAGAGAAACTGTTGATATTTTACCTTTATGTAGGTTTTTGTTTTAACTTGACCTTTTTCCTTTGGAAAGCATTGAACTTCTTTAGCTAACTGCTCCTATTAGGGGGCTCAACTTGGGTGAAGCCAAAGGCTCCCTGGCTGTCTCTCTTGGTGGCCCCGGTGGCCCAGAGCTCCACCACTTTCCAGTGAGGTAAAGAACCCTAGCATATTATTGAGTTTTCCTCAGAAAAATTTAAGAGGGAAGGACTACGAGATTTGAAAAGTTATGTATGATTAATTTCTTGCATGCATACCAGTTTAAGGTTTCTTAAATATCTTCATGCTTTTCTTGGCTGAAACTTGGCAAATTAACCTGTAATTATGAATTCTTTAACTCAAGGTGCATTTTTATTTCACAGATTGGTACTTGCTTTTTTCTGTGAAACAATTCTCTTAGATAAAATTCTCAGGATGAATTTTTGCATTTGTAAATAACGATATATCTTTGTAAATTACATTTTATTTATTTAGAGTTCTAAAATGTGCGGCTTAAATGAGTTACATATAATAGAAGACAAAACTATACCAGTACGCTCTTAACCAACCAGATTGTCAAGATATTCTCATTTCATCAATATATACATACACATACATATATAGATAATATACAGAGTAATGATAGCTGATTTGAGTGATAACAGCTAATCACCATTGAGATGGTCATTTGGATCATGTAAACAAACCTAGTCATTTCTCTGATGGGAGCCGTGGGCAGTGTGCTGTTGTTAGACAGACAGGTCTTTCGCATGCTATTTGTACAAGTTTTCCTTGCCATATAGTTCATGTAGTAGTCTGTGAGAGTTCAAAGATGGCTGTCAAGCTGCTAATATACAAGTTGTCATGGTACCATGTCACTTAAATTGATGAATTTCTATGCAATGTACTATTCTCTGAAGCATATGAATGCATACTCATCTCATTTTCAATTAAGGCTACTTTATGTATAATTATGTCATTGCTACCTTTTATGTAAGAAATGTAAAGTTTTAAAAGGTGCAGATAACATTTCAGTTTTTATACAGGTTGCAATATTATTAAACATGAAACTGCCAAATTCCTAGAATCACATTATGGATTTTTTATACAGGTTACAATATTATTAAACATGAAACTACCAAATTCCTAGAATAGTAAAATTTCTAGGGTCAGTTTATTGATAGAAACTATTTGAAAAAAAAAAACAATTGAAAATTGAGCTTTCAGTCAAGAAGTTGGTGAAATTAATGTACTTAAACATCTTCTTTTCTGTAGGCAAAATGTCAGGGAAAACTGAATGTGAAAGTAGTTATTCACATGCGCCCCGGCACGGTAGCTCCACATGTGAGAGATCATTCAAGCACCCTGCCCATAAAACCTGCATGTGTATACATAAACACAATTGGTGTCATTAGAGTTTTCTAAACACTAGATAAAGTTCCTAATTTTTTAGTGTGCCAAAAGCAAATGATAGGTTTAAATGAAATTGCTCATTACCAAATCAAGACTGTTTGAAATTTATAAATATATAAAAGTCATAACACTTTAACATGTGACAGCCTAAGGTTTTTTTAGTTTGGGGGTGGGGTGGGGGTGGTTTTGCCTGTTGGACCAGGATGAAATGCCTGTCTTTATTCCTTGGTAAGACGTAGCCATTACGGCATTTCAAACTATTTTTGGTAGAAGAGAACATACTGCCAAACGATAATTCATTTAGCAAAAATTATTCTCCAACTTTCTGAATTCACAAATTTTCTAATTGCGTAGAGTAGCTTATTACATTGTTACGAATTCTTTAATGCCTTTATTTCAAATGGAAAAAACTTTATGGACAATATTTTAGAAATACCATGTGATTCACATCTAATTTTATATGTAGCTTCTTTTAAGTGATCAAAATTGAGATGCCTTTGATATGAAGAGATTTACCTACATTATATGCACTCGTGCCCTCAATGCGGAATCAAACTGGTTAACTTGTGCACAGGCCTCTCCTGTCTATGTCTCTGCTGCACTAATTGCCAGGGGATGGGAGAGAAGGTGGAGGAATTTATTCACAGTAGAAGGAGGTAATAGGTGCGGCAAATAGCAGCACACAGTATTGATTCCACATTATAATTTTGTTGCCCCTTCTTGGCAAAAGATAACACATTGTGGGAAGATCACAGCTTCCAGGGTAAAAGTTAATTTATAACTTTAAAAAGTGCTATTAAGTTTTTATTACCAAATATATCTTTTATGGTTTATATTGTAGTGGTATGTATGAAACATTTAAAATTTTACTTGTGGAAATGGCGTGTGTATATATATCTATAGAAGTTGAAATAGGTGTTCCCACACATGAACGGAGAACTGCATATGACTGTACGTGAAGTGCAATAAACAACTGGAAAAAATACATGTGCTTCATCCTGTCCAGCCAACTGCAGCTGGAAAGTGCTGCTTATTCTCCACCTCCAGAAATGCATGTATAAATATAGAACAAAGAATGCACACTTTCAATTTTATTGAGGTTTTCAACACTATTTTAAAAAAAATGTAAGCATCTGACATTCTGGAGTTCTAAATTAGAAGATGAGCATAATATTCACCCTGATTTTAGTTACTAAAGGAGATTAGTAAACAGACTTAGGGTTCCTCAGTTGGACTGTGCATCCAAGATAGTTAACATTTTTTATTTTTAATAAATGGCACAACTTTTATGTGTTTTTTATATGTAAGAAAGAAGAAAGGAATGCTGACCAAAACTTGATTAGTGAGAAGAACTAGTGTCATTAACTTGTGGAACAAAGTAGAATTGGTTTATTTTAAAAATTATTTCCAGTAGTGTGAAACCTTTAGGATTCTTTAACATCTAAATGTTTTGACTCCTTGTACCTTAAGTTTTCCAGTCTTCCTTATTTACATCATCTCCAAGTACCTCTGCCTTCTTTCGTCTTGCTCACTGGAACCTTAGTTTTCCTCAGCAGGATGGTTTGTAAAAGTAGCCCACAGGTGTAGGATCTGTGGCATGTCATACAGACTGGGGGCCCAAAGGTGTGCTTGGTTTGGCTTATGCAGTGTTTTGCTTTTTAAACTACTTGCCACCATTTGAAGGTGGAAACACTAATAAAAAAGTCTGATTGCCCATATTAGATTTTTTTTTTAAATCTCTTCACAAAATGTGCTCCTCCTCAAAAATCAAAATGTCTAGAAAGCCCAAACATATATTGTCACATAGTAGGCACCAGCTGAAACTTGAGTAATCAAACTACCCCCTTAAGCCAAGTATTCCCTGGTTAATCGCCACCCCACCACTCCTTCCTGTCTCTCGTGTCACACTTGGGCTGTTGGTTTTCTTACTCCTGTCTTGCTTTAATCCTTCCTCCCCACCCTCTGCCCAGCTCCTGTGGATATCTGCTTGTCTCCTGGTCCAGGATGGTGATCTTTCAAACCAACTTCTCAAAAGGGATGGCATAAAATAGATTTCGATGTTTTTCCTTCTGCAAAATCAGATGAATGTTCTATCAAAATTATTAGTCACTTATTCATGCATATTGGATTTCTTACTGTTTAAAGAAGGACTTCTATTAAGTGAGTGGAAGATTAGACATTTGGATTTTCGTCCTAATGTAATTTTTTATGATTATTACCTCATACAATAATTTGTGGTGGTCTTAGCAGTTAAACTAATTGACCATCTAATAGTTGACTATAAATATATCTAAAATAATAGTCATAAGTTTGGCATCACAACTTTCCCCAAAAAAACTTTATTAAAATTAGATTATTCCCGTGTAATGCTATTTTGTGAAGTATATATGTACATAATGTATACTCTCTGAAAGTGCTTGTTTTTATATGCTATACAACAGTTCCAATTTTAAAGACTGTCTCTTGAAATTGGGATGAAAATCTATAGCCTTTGTTTTCTTAAAGTATCCTATTCTATATTCATTGATAACTGGGTATTAATAAAGTTATTACAGGAAAAAAATGACTAAGAGCAAAAGGAGAAGAAAATATTTGCAAATGAATCCACAATTCTTGCAGAACTATTTGAGTTGACTAAAGATTTTATGATCAATCCTTTAACTTAGAACTGTCAAGGTTGGGAATGATGAAAGTAAAGTGCCTTGGCTATGCTTGAAACCTGAATTTTAATGCTTCCCTTATTATATTCATTGTCTTAAATGATTTGGTTTACGAAGTTAAGACATACTAGTAGTATAAGTGGAAAGTTGGATACATTTTAATTAAACGATATATGTTAATGAATTATGTTTTTGTTGATTGCTTTCTCACTGAGGTAAAATGGCATTAGTTGTCCAGAATTTAAACTGACTCTAGATTCTTAGGTGGTGGGAAAATGTAAAACTTGAAAGTTCATGGGCGGAACGCAATGCCTGTGAAAACACCTGAAGCTGAGTTAAATTTGACTCTCGGGGAAGAAAGCTAGATTAGCAAATCAAACATGCATATGCCTCATGCAGAGCTAGTATTCAGGCATCAGGTTTTGGCCTACTGGCAGTAAAGTAGTTTTCAAGTGAAACAAAGTGGAAAAGTTTGATAGCACATCTAGAAGTGGTCTGTCATCCTTAAGTATTGTTGATTCTAAAATGAGTTAGAAACGTCCCATTACTCTTGGAATTAAAGCAACTTGGCATGGAGAGACATGAAAGAAAAAATGTAGTGTAAGCTTGACTTTATGTCCTTTCACTAAATTCTATGAATCTATTTGGCAGAGAGATTTTGTACTCTACAAGGAAAACATCACTGATATGGACAACACCAATAATGTACATGCCATTAAGCCGATAAATGCCGAAATGGCCTGGTGAATACCTTGAATTCTTCAGAGAAGTGTTTTAGTCCCTTCAGTGTTGCTATAGCAGAACACCTGAGGCTGGGTAATTTATATGAAGAAAAAAAAAAAAGGTTTATTTGGCCCACAATTCTGGTGGCTGGAAAATTCAAGATTGGGCAGCTGAATCTGGTAAGACCCTGATGCTGCTTTAGCTCATAAAGCCGAAGGGGAGTGTGGGCCAGGTGCAGGGAGCGATCACAAGGCAAGAGAAAGCAAGAGAGAAACTGAGGAGGCCAGACTCACAACCCAGTCTTATAGGAACTCAACGCATCCATGCAAGAGGGAAAATACCCCCAACCCGAGGGAGGGCATTTATCAATTCCTGAGGGATCCACCTGAGTAACCCAAGCACCTGCTACCAGCCCCACCTCCCAGCACTTCCACACTGGGCATCAGATTTCAACAGGAGTTTTCGTGGGGACAGACTGCACCCAAACCACAGCAAAGTGTAACCCAATCGTTCTAAAATCCTTGTTATATTCTGCTCAAGTATCACCACCACCATCTTTAGCTCCATCCTAGAGAGGCTGTAACAAAAGTTACTGAACCAGAAAGCGGAGTGTACCTGATCTAAAAGAAGTAAGCCAGGCGCTGTGGCTCACACCTGTAATCCCAGCACTTGGGAGGCTGAGGTGGGTGGATCACCTTATTTTTCTCTATGGAACTTCACATTTGAGTAGATATGCAATGAACTGTGGCCAGGAAGAGTTCATGTTATTAAGGGAAAGACAGGGAAGCTCCTCCTTTCCTTACCACTTTCATCCCTCAGTTCAAAGAGGAGCACTACTTCCTTCAAAACTGCATCAAACAGAACTAATGGAAAAGAAAAATAGAAACATGTAAATTTAGCCTAAATATGAACTTGAAAGATGAAGTTGGATACCACACCACCTCCCATTTCTAAAGTAGTTTTTCATTTGTTACTCTTCTAAAGCCAAAGTGATGAAAGTCATGCCTGCTGTGAGATCTGTATCCATTCCAGCAGGTTGCTTGCCAAGACTTTGGTGGTAGGGTCAACATGAGCCTTCTTGCTGAGCGCCCTCAGCAGGCTCTAAGGAATGCCTGAAGTTTTAGGCACAGGAGGCTCTCTTTGCCACTCCCTTTCCATTTGAATTACTTACCTATTTCTCATAGGAACATTTCTTAAAAGTAGAAACTGTAGAATTGTGTAATGGAATTAAAATACAGAAATACCAGAGGAAAAATTATTCGGCCATATATAGAAAAGGGTTGCTGTGGTACGCTGTAGTATGTCAGTGGCTATAAAAATCAAATATTATGGGAGGAAACAACACTAGAAGATATGCCAGCAGAAATCACGCATGCTTTGCACTTGCAGGATTGCTCATATTAATGAAGATTAGCACCACAGTCAAATTTCTGAGTGCTTAATTGGCATTAAACAATGCAATCAGTATTTCTGTGTATATCAAAATATAGGAAAACCAAACTTGTGCATCAAATTTATGTTAGTCAAATACAGTAATGCTGTATAATAGAATAATCTCTTAGAAACCAAGGGGAATCCACATAACCTGAATACACGTTCTCAAAAATACTCCCTCAGTGACCTACTGGGGAGCTTCAAATACATGGTCTGGGTAGACAGTAAAGATGAGATATTTTAATTGAAGACATCTTTTATTTTACAATTTTAGCCTCCCTTTTTAACAAGATTTACAAGTGTTTTACTGCCACCCTTCTTTAAGTAATGCTCTTCAACATCTCTAAGAAATTTAAAGGTAAAATATTTGTGAGAAGCCACAAGTCAAAAACTGTAACTTGGTAAGCTGTGGGATTTTTTTGTTTTCTCAGAGCAATATAACCTTGTTTTCCACAGTTGTATGAGGGACTGACTTTGTCAAAAGCATCCAAGTATCCAAATGGTTGGTGTATTGCAAAGCAAACAAAAACACAACCTGCTCCTGAGGAGTGTGTTCTTTTCATTAGGTCTATGAAACTGTATGGTCATTGTACAAATGAAGATTTCAGTTCTGCACGTGTATTCTGCCAGGTTGAACTGAAATATGTGTATGTGGAGACAATTTAGCAAGGCTGCTGGCCATGTCAGATTTTTGTCTATTTTCTTTCATCACAGTAAACATCCCAAACTACCAGGGACTGTTTTTGTTTTTGTTTTTGTTTTTTTTTTTTTTTGAGACGGAGTTTCGCTCTTGTTACCCAGGCTGAAGTGCAATGGCGCGATCTCGGCTCACCGCATCCTCCGCCTCCTGGGTTCAGGCAATTCTCCTGCCTCAGCCTCCTAAGTAGCTGGGATTACAGGCACACGCCACCATGCCCAGCTAATTTTTTGTATTTTTAGTAGAGACGGGGTTTCACCATGTTGACCAGGATGGTCTCGATCTCTTGACCTTGTGATCCACCCGCCTCGGCCTCCCAAAGTGCTGGGATTACAGGCTTGAGCCACCGCGCCCGGCCAGGGACTGTTTTTTGTTTTGTTTTTTAAACACCGGTCATTCTGGTGAAGTTTTTTTGTTGTTGTTAAGCTAATTTTTTTTCCATTGTATGTGTGTTTCCACTTTTGGGACATAGAGTAAATTTCACCTAAGCTATTTCGTATCCCAGAATTTAATAGGGGTTGGTGATTAAGGAAGTAGATTAAAAATATATAGGAATTTTGAGACTGAACTGTCAATTACATTGTTTCAATAGTCCAATTTAGAACTCATGCTGATTTTTGAAAATTCCAAATGCAAGTCAGAGAACTTTCAAAATAAGCGATTTTATTTATGTGCTAAAATGATTGGTCTGAATGCCATGCCTGGCCTCTAGGTAGACAAGAGTGAAGATACCATTCCTGCTTCAAACAGCTTGGTCTCAGGCTGGGGGGCAGAAATGGAATATGAAAGTAGCATGAGCATTATACAGCAGCATTCCAAGGCCCAGTTTTATGCAGAACATCAAGTAAATGATTCTCTTCTGTGAAGACAGGAGCTAACTGTTCCACAGCATGTTCATTTCAGAATGATGGCTAAACTTTAGTAGAAAGGGTTCCTTCTTGGTATAGCCATATTTGAAGTAATCTTATTCCCTGAAATCATATCTTATTGATTTATGACTTGCCAAAAATATTTTTTGAAAGCCGCTATGTTTTGTCTGTTGGGTTATCAGGAGGAATTACTGTTTATTTTCACCCATCTTTGGCTGCTGCTGAGAAAGGCATTTCTCCAGCCCTCTCACCTCTCCCTCTAGGCCTTCCCCAGGGGGCTTTCTTTGGATCCAAAGCCAAGCCCCAGAGTGACATATCCCTGAGGGTAAAATGCTCTTTGTCCTAGTACTAATGCTATTATCAGTCTACCAGTCTCGAAGACTTTCATATTCCCATGAGACACTGTTCAACACTGAAATCCAACAGCTATCATTTCACCCTTTTACCTCAGCCTTGTCTGAGGAGGATTTTATCTAAAAATGATAGCCTTACACTTAATCTCTGCAGTCTACATAATTTTAAGATAACATTCCTCTTCCTTCAGCCTTTTCATCCTTTTGTTCATGTGAAAGTATACAAAGAGTACCCTTGAAGGTGGGAGCACCATGGTGTTTTTCCTTGAGTTTCATATCACTAATGTTTAATTGCAATTGGAACGGAAGTGCTCAATAAATATTTGTTGAGTGAATAAATGCCACTGTATCCCGTTTCCAATCTGTCCCTAGAGAATTGTCAAGTCAACTGATAGACTTAGCCCTGAAATTGGTGCAGAAGCTAATTGACTGACTGGCTGGAAGGCCAGTGAAGGCAGCAAGTTGGTCAGCAGGTTCTACAATGCACAGGAGCCTTGTCTGTGCATGGTATCAAGGCCATGCCAGCACTGGCCATCCCATCATTAGCTCTTCCATCTGCATAAGTGAAACTGTCCTCCTTACCCATATTTTAATCTTCAAGACTGTCTTTTATACTCACTTTAAGTATATATCTATATTAAGTTATTGCAGGAGAGGCAGGGTATAGAAAATAGTTTAGTCCTGAGAGAGAACCCAGGATCTTTTTGTAAGCATCAAAAATTAAAAGATCTAGAATTTAAAAAATGAACAAAAGCCTTTAGAAATGAAACAGTTTTGTAGATCATAAGGACTAACACTCTATTGATTACAGATGAGAAATCAGATGCCCAGAGAGATATATCAGGAAATGATATTCCTAAGTTCATATACACGGTTGACAGACTGGGAATAGAATCTCTTGTATCAAACCCTTGCCGTGAGCTGAGAGTTGGCACCCTCTAAGCAGAACTGTCTGTATGGAAAGGCACGGTTTTCTCCCTGGGCTCTGCATTGAAATGCAGCTCCCTACTGTACTGACACCTCCACACTTTATTAACTGTTTCAGGTGGTATTTGCTAAATGAAAAAAACACTGCAAACAAAAAGGCACCTTTCCAAAAACATGTCTT